GGAGAGTTAGCTGCACTAACAGAACCACACAGCCAGGGCTTTCCTTCAGAACACACACAACTCCCTGTGCCCGACACAGGTCAGTGTGTCCTTGTGCAGCTGTGTGTGACAAAAAGTACTCATAGGAGAGTCACAGAGCAAGCAAACCAGGCTGCCTACCAGTCACTTACAAAGTCATCTCTTCGGCTTGCAAAGCCTACTGCCAGCACAACCAGGAAGTCAGTTACAATGCACAATGCTCTGATTTGCTTCTTTGTATTACACAAAAGTACTTCTGAGACTTGGAAAAAAAGGAAAAAAAAATGGATTACTTTTCAAAATAGCCCCAAAATCCCTCTTTTCCCTTTCTCCCCTCTCCCCCCCCAAAAAAAAACCACGCCACTACTCCTTTCCTGCCCTTTTCTCCATTATTTAAAAAGTGAAAATAAAAAACTTAGCTATGAATTTTTGCCAGACTACTTTCAGTGGCAATGTGCCACACATTATGCAAGTTGAACTGTATACTGACCATACATTACAGCTTGCATTACATGACATAGCTAAGCTTCAAGAACAAACAGCCTAGGAGAGTTGGATGAAAAATAAATCATAACAAAAGACTACCATAACCCAATCAAACTCCTTCATATCCTCTCCAGAAATAAACCCCAATATCCTAGTGGATTCAGACGAAAATTGGCTCTTTCTCTACAAAGAGGCAAGCACCGAGCTGCATCTCAGCAAGTCTGGGAAGAGGCAGCCTGGTTCATTCTTCCATGAATGGCAGCAAGGAGCTCAGCTATGGCAGCAAGCCTGAAGGACACAACAGCAACACAGCGGGATAGATAGCCCATCATCTTTTTCCCTGATGATACCTGCAAGGAAACTGAGGTAGCAGGGATGTCCTTCATAGGAAACAACGAAGCAGGGAACATATTTAAAGGACTGCTCAGCAACTCATCCTGCCAGTAAGAAGAAAATTTCCTTTGGCTCAAACTAAATTCCTTGCTCTCCAGGAGTATCAAACAGCAAAGCTTCTCCTTTATTTGCATTAACATGCAAAGCAACTGAAGACCATGCATTTGGATCCGGATCTTTAAGTGCTCTGCTCAGCAAGAGGTGCTCTTCATGCATCTGACAGCTGAACTCCAGCCCTTCTGAAATCTTTATAGCTTGTTTAGAAGCACCCAGCACAGCCATTGGCCTAGATTAGGAGTGCATTTACGCACACATGAACAATCTTGACCCAGTTCTTGTCACATTGTGTCCAACACTGGGAGCTGTGAACTCCATTTTATTATTAGCATGAGAACAAAGGCCTGTGTAAATACATGAGGTGTTATGAACGGCCATTCACTGCACATATGAGGAATGAAATGGAAAGAATCATTCCATTATTTGCCATCATCATCCTCGAAGACCCACAGAAGGCCATCGCTATAGAAATACATCTGGCTGGCAGTGTTTGGTTCTGATTCAGAGCAGATGCCACTGGACTCTGAGAGTTAGCTAGCACCAGCTGGCACAGGCACAGTAACAGAACGTCGTTCTAGCACAGGCGGGAGAACTCTCAACATTCAAGTACACAAAAACAGCTTAATGTGGGTTTTGCTTTACGGTTTCAAGACTCAGTTTCCCTCCCAACAATGTACTACGCTGCAAAGCAGAAGGACGACTTCAACCAGTGCCAAACATGAGGGCATTTTCTCCTCCAAAAGCCTTTACAGGTTGTAGCTTTCTTGCTTACAGGATAGATGACTAATTCCTGGCTGAGGGATAAAACTAAGACCCACCCCACCACAAGAAACAGCAAGGCTGTTGTTGTCCAGGTCATTAAAGCACTTTGCATAGCAGAAGCACATTTCGTGCTTGATCATCCTAACGATAGTTCTCCACAGGATTCTTAATGAAGTTCTAAATGTCATGGGCTGAGACCTGCTAGAAGACACCACACAGGTTTTACATTTTATCCTGCAAGCACGTACACTGCCTGAACTTTCAGTTTAAGTGCAAAAAAGAAGGAAACAGATCACACCTGAAGGAAACAAATTTGTTCCTAGCAGACTGAGCTATTCCTCTCTTTGAGAAGCCCAAAAGGCAAACTTCTAGCTTTGTGTTGCCAGAGAAATTTTTAAAATGTAAGCAAATCCAGAAGTTTTGCTCATTGGATAAATAACAGTGCCTTATTTAGTCTGACTGCATTTGTGCTCCTTGCTCTCCTCATCAAACCAGCATCCTCATCTCATCAAAGTAAGCTGATGACTTGCTAAAGGCTCGGTTAATTCCAAGCTAGACTGTATCTATACCAGAACTCAAACTGCACCAAGCCAAAACATACCCTGCCCTGATAGCCTTAGATCCAGGACAAAAGAATAGCAGTAAATACTAAGCTGAAATGCGTCCACTGGACTGTATCATATTTTTAAATCACAAGCGTCCCAAAATCTCTGTGGCTTGTTCCTTGATAGACATAACTTGGAAACACTGATTTCTCACCTGTGATTTTCCTACCCTTCACCACATGAAACATAAACTAAACACAAAGCAGACTGCAAGCTCAAAATATGTTCTGAAACTAAACATAAGACAGTGAGAGATTGCAATTCCAACCGCCAACAAAGCCTTAGTTCAAACTTCTGTATTCCCAGTGCCATGAAACACAAGCAGGTACCCTGTAATGTTTTCAGGTTCTGTGGAAAGAAGGAAATGCCTTTCCTCACAGATATTAGTGCTGCCTCCTCACAGAATCCCCACGAGAACTCTGCCACAAGAGAATTACCCCCACTGCCCCCTGCTGCACACAACCCTTGGCACTAAGATCAGCTAGGTGTGTGACTGCACAGAACAGAGAAGCAGCAGGACCTACAGAAAGTACCTTTAGAGAGGGTCAGGAGCCTGGTCTCTCATGCTAGGATCTGCACTCACATCATCTAACCGAGCCAAAGGGGCCACAGAGAAGCAGCCATGGTCTCATCAGCACCTTCCTGGCTCTGCAGGGCTCCCACTTCTCTTCTGTTGGCTCTTGCTCACCCGCAATGAGCTGAAGGAGCACCCCAGAAATCCAGCCAGAGACATGTCCGAGAAAACCATGCCCATCATTTAAAGGAAGATGTAGAAAGGAGAAGAAAAATGTTTCTGTTTTCTCTCTCCTGTATGTGCTGAATGTCCTTGTTTAAAGACTCATCAGTACAAAAAACTCCTCTTTGCCATGACCTAACAACAAGCAATATGCATGCTGGTAGTGGCCAACTGCTTCTTCAACCAACCTCTCTGTTCAGGTTATACAACCAGTTCTCTTTCTAGAGATGAACCTTTCTGTCGTCTTGCTTTAGAAATAAACATTAAAGCCTCAATTTCCATGCTCTGCAGGTACATTAACAAAAAAAAAAAAAAAAAATTCAGGCCTTCCACCATCATCTTAAGCTTCAAACCATACAAGCACTGATACTCAAGAACATGCAAGCTATGGCCAAACCAGAATAAACTTTTGACTAGTCAGTGAACTGAAGAAGTATTAAGCACTTCTTTTTTTTTTTTCCACAGAACCATAGAGTCACCAAGGTTGGCAAAGACCTCCAAGATCATCCAGTCCAACCATCCACCTGTCACCAATATTGCCCACTGAACTACGACCCTTAGCAGAACATTTAAACATTTCCTGAACACCTTCAGGAACGATGACTCCACCTCCCTGTGGTAGAGGGATGATCGTTCTTTCAGAGAAGTTTTTCCAAACATCCAAGCTGAATCTCCCCTGGTGCAACTTGAGGCCATTCCCTCTAGTCCTACAGCTTGTTACTCAGGAAGAGATGCTAACGCTCACCTCACCTTAACCTCCAGGTCTTCTTCCTTTGCAGTCTTCCAGGCACTTTGCCCCAAGCCTGTAGCGTTGCCCAGGGTTGTTGTGGCCAAAGTGCAGGACCCAGCACTTGGTCTTGTTGAGCCCATTGGCCTCAGCCCAGCTATCCAGCCTGTCCAGATCCCTTTGTAGGGCGTTCCTATCCTCAGGCAGATCAACACTTCCTTCCAAGGTGTAACCTGCAACCTTACTGAGTGTGCACTCAATGCCCTCATTCAGGTCATTGATAAAGAGAATGAACAAGACAGGCCTCAGTACAACCCCTGGAGAACCCCACTCAAGACCAGCTGTCAGCTGGATTTAACTCCATTCATCACCACTCTCTGGGCCCAGCCATCCAGCCAGTTCTTTACTCAACAGAGTGTACCTGTGCAACCCATGGGCTTCTCTCTGACGTTAGACAATACGTGGAGTTTACTCTTTAATGCTTGCTTTTTCCAAAAATGTCAGAATAGTACCAGCTGGGAAGTGTGTCTGACATGCTCTTCTTTTTGTACTTATGACATGAAAACAGACAGATCCAAAGTTGTACTGTATCAAACTGTCAGATATAAAAATGAATCAAAGATTTTGTAAAGCTGAGCACTGAAGCTTACTGTCTTTAAAACTAACACAGTGCCAGACAATTTAGAGTCAGACAAACATATTTAGTATGGTTACATGCATACAAAGATAACATAGTTCTGTTCAATTAAATCATGTTTTGAAGCTTTGTTGGATCCAAACATCTATCAAGGCCAATTACTGGTTTTGCAGTTCCATTCTTCTTCCCACAACTTTTAAGCAAGAATCCTTGCTTTTCTCTCTACCAGTTTTCTTTTGCTCCAATTTTTAGGTGGTTTTTCTTTCCTTACTAACATTATGTTACATTATGTAACATAACTGATGTTTAGATGTGGCGTTGAGAAACAGAACTGTTTTTGATTAGCACACATAGCACTGTGTAAAAATTCAGTGAATTTTCCCCCGCACACCCTGATCCGCTCACTCAGTCTATCTCAAGCCTGGCTGTTACACTATGTGACTCTGTCAAACAATCTGCCACTTCAGCAAATGCACTGACCGTAACTACCACACAGATCAGCTTGTAAAGAAGAGGCATGTGCATGTGTGAATAACGAAAGATGTCCAAACAGCAGCTGCCATGCAGTTCATCACTTACCTAGTAGCACAGTGTTACTGTAGGACAGCTCAACACAGCTACTCTCAAAACCCTCCTGTGCTCATGATTCAGAGAAACTTCTTAATTTTGAAGAGAGAAAAAAAGGTGCCAAGACTGAAAAAGAATGAAGATTTTAAACCAAGGGATATAAGGTCTGTAGCAGAAGGGGGAGAGCAAATGGGAGAATATTTAGATCTGATTATAAGTGGATCCCCACTTCAACCCTAATTTTCAGGGAAAACCAGCCTAACACTGTAATTACTCATGCTTAATGACACTTAAATGCTGGAGATAAAATAGCAACATTACTCATGGCATTTTGGACCCTGAAAAATACAAGTGACACTTCACCTGCCAAAATCATCCTGGCAAAACGCCACTGACATCAGTGGAGCTTCACTAACCATGAAATTGGCTCATAGTTGCTTTAAGACAATGAAAGCTTTGTTTTAGGAGATATAGGGTATTCGTGTTGTTCTTAATAAAGCCCAGCAAACAATCACTTACTGTTAGTGAGCAAATGCCACTGACAATAAGCAAGCAGCTACCACATTCGTTGTATACACTGCCCATATATTGCTGGGAAAACAGCCATCAATAAGGGAAGAGATTCTCAATTTGTATCAGGAGGAGATTGCTTCTCCGGTTGCCCAAAAGAGCCACAAGTTATTTCCACTTTTAAAATGTTCTTCTATGCTCCTACCTCCCTGCCAAGCCAAAGAAAGTTAAATATCCTGATCAGTGCTGCAGGATTTAGTCCACACATATCTACATATTTAGTCCCACAGTGCAGAACAGACTGCTGCCAGAGTTATTCAATAACACGCCTGCCACAAACTACACACAACCACACTGTGCTCATTCAAAAGACTTCTTCTGCATTTTGATACATTTTTGTTGGACTCCACAAATTCTTAATGAAAAACAAAAGTTCACACGTTCCTATCACCTAATAGAATCACTGAACTATCTGAATTGGAAGGAAACCTTAAAGGTCATCTAATCCACCTCTGCTGCAATGAACAGGGACTCCTACAGCTAGACCAGGAGTTCAGAGCCGAATGTCCCCAGGGATGGGGTGTCCACCAGCTCTGTGGGCAACCTGCTCCAGAGCATCACTGCCCATCACATTGTAAAAGACTTTTTCCCTGTATCCACTCTAAACCTCCCTTCTTTTAGCATGAAACCATTTCCCCTTTTCCTGCCACAACAAACCCTGCTAATGACATTGTCCCCTTCGCTCTTACAGCCTCCCAGGTGTCCTATAAGTGTGCCCTGAACTTGCAGAACCAGCTCCAACCAAGACAGTACGCAGCATTGACATACAGCTCAGTGAGTTCCGGCATTAAAAAAAAAAAGTCAAACAGAAGAAGGAAACAAATAATTAAGTCACAGAGACCTGTGTACACCCCTTACTCATGTGAGCACCCAAGTTCACAGAATCACAGAACTGCAGGGGCTAGAAGGGATGCGTGGAGATGGAGTCCAACCTCCCTGCTAAAGCAGGCTCCCTATAGCAGATCTCACAGGAAGGCATCCAGATGGCTCTCGAATATCTCCAGAGGAGATTCCACAACCTCTCTGGGCAGCCTGTTCTCCTCGATGTGCAGCCAGTTGCACCATTGCAACCCAATGCAGAGGAAGATCTGGACTCGCAACACACAGGAGGGTTGAAACCCCGACTGAGCCACAGAATGGGCGCACAGAGCAAGCGGAGCCTGCTCTCGCTCCGAAGTAAAGATGGGTTCGGATGCACACTTTGCACAGAGAAGTTCAGCTGCGCTCGCTGCCCTGAGCTCTGTGCCATCCCAGCCCCACGCAGCCCCGGACGCTCGGGCGGCCGCCCCCAGGCCACGGGCTCCTCTTGGAGAGGACAAAAGTTGTTTCACGGAGGAAACCTTTCCACCAGACCAAAACCAGGAGGAAATTTGCCATCACGGGCAAAACCGCCGTCTGCTCGGACAGGAGCTCTCCCGTCTCTCTGCCCCCCTAAGAACGACGGGCATCTCCTATTCCCGCGATCCCGATCACACCTACGGGCGGGCAGACGGGGCTCCGCGGCAGCGCCTCCCCCAGCCCAGCCAGCCCGCCTTTGTGTGCCGGCAGACGCTGCACCTACCTCGCCGGGGCGGCTCTCCGCGGGGAACGAGGAGAAAAAGACCCCGAGACGGGAGGAGGGAACGAAAGAGGCCGCGCGGTACCCGCCCGCTCGCCCAGTGCCGGCGCGGCCCCAACACACGCGCGGCTCCGTCCCGGCCCCGCCTGAGCGAGCAGCGGGGCGGGCCGGGGCGAGGCGGGCCGGGGGCGGGTCTGCCGCTGAGTCACCGCCGGGGCGGCCCCGACCCCCAGCCCCGCGTTGTCTTTGTTGTCAGGAGCTGGGGGAAGAGGAGCGGGGGGGAAACTGCGAAAGAAAGGGGGAAAAAGCGATGAGAGAAAGAGAGAGAGAAGGGAGGGGACGGGCTGCCCGCGGGGCCGCAGTCTATCCCGAGGCGGGCGCGGAGCGCTGTGCTGCCTCCATCCGCGCTGAGCGCAGCGGGACGGGCTGCTGTAAGCGCGGGGCTCCTGGTCTCATCGCAGGTGGTTCCCAAACGTGCCGAGGGCGTTAGGCCGTCGACTGAGCTCGTCTACCTGCGAGTGACTCCTCTTTTTCTTCCTATTGGAAGAGGAGCCTCTGTTTTTAGCTCCTGCGTCTGTATTTCTGCTCTCTTTGTCCAAATCTGCTGAAGCTTCGCTTTGTCCCACAGAATCACAGAATGGCCAGGGTTGGAAGGGACCTCCAACCCCCCTGCCATATGCAGGGCCACCAGCCTCCACATTCAATACCAGACCAGGCTGCCCAGGGCCCCATCCAACCTGGCCTTGAACACCTCCAGGGACGGGGCATCCAAACCTCTCTGGGCAGACTGTTCCAGCACCTCACCACTCTCTCTGTAAAGAACTGCCCCCTGACATCCAACCTGAATCTTCCCTCCTTCAACTTAAAACCATTTCCCCTTGTCCTGTAGTTATCTACCCTTTCAAAGAGTTGATTCCCCTCCTGTTTGTAGGCTCCCTTTAGGTACTGAAAGGCTGCAATGAGGTCACCCCACAGCCTTCTTTTCTCCAGGCTGAACAAGCCCAGCTCCCTCAGCCTGTCTTCATAGGGGAGGTGCTCCAACCTTCTGATCATCTTTGTGGCTTTCCTCTGGACCCTCTCCTTTGATTTTCCCACTAGAGAGGAATTAGGATCCCCACTCTGTAAGCAGACACATCCAGGCATTACCCAGGTCCAGAAAACAGGCTCAGATTGCTCTGCAGTTCATCCCTATGGTGCTCTGTGCCCCACAGTCTGTTTCATTGCAATAAGTGACAGAAACAGGACGGAGTCTGCAACATAGCACAGTGTGTGGATGTTTAGAGTATGAACCAAAAAAAAATGACCTTTTGGGATGAAATGTATGTTTATATATTGCTGTACGTACTTGGATTAAATCAGCTTCTTTTGTATATTTATCACCAGGATTATTTTGAGTTTCTTCAGAGCAGATGCCTTGCGTCATGGCACAGTGACAGAAGCATCTTGAATCATCCCAGTGATGGAAAGCTGCTGGGCCCGTCAGACTGCAGCTTGAGGAGCTGAGTAATGCTCAGCAGCCAATGTCATGGGCTCTCCAAAAACCCCAGCCGCAAGAAGCAAGTCTCTGTCGGAGGGATATTGGGCACTCAGCAGGTGGTGCTGTTTCCACTGGGTCTGTCCTAAATAATCCACTGCCCCTGCACGTCCAAGGGAAATTAGTGAGTAGGGAGAAGTGTCTTCTGTGGGGAAAGGCTGAAATCATGAGTGCTGGCATGTATTAAAAGACTACTCAGGTCTTTGTGTGCAGCTGTTCTATCACTGGGGAAAAAAAGGCAACCACAAAGTACCTGTGTGAAACGTGGCAAATGGATGAAAACCAGAATGTGTGTGTTGCTGCTCTCAGTTCTGATGCCTTTTAAGTCTGTTGTCAAGTGCCAACTTATGCAATCAGAGCTATGCTGAGGAAATGTTTTGAAGTGCAACATGATCCCCAAAAAGTCAATATCAGCACTGCAAGCTGGGCAGCTATTTGTCTTGTCCATGTCCACAGTTTTGAGCCCTGACTGTGACCTGTCTCATACCTCAGGTGAGTATTTCATCACAAGAGTGAAGGTAGGTGTGAGGTACATTTCTTCCTGTATGTAGATCCCATGGTTACTATAGAGAGAAGAACCTCATAAAAATTGATTATTTTTAATTAAATGCAGTAAAGTGATGTGCCTAGACAGATGAGACAGTACAGTATTGAATATTGAGTTCCCTCTTCTGTACACTATCCTTCTCTTAGAAACATGCAAGGAAGGTGTATTACCAGACACATGCAAACAGTGAAGAAAAAAATGAACAGCAAAGGCAGCTGGAATGCTAGATTTCCCTATCTTTTGCATTCTTGACCTTACAGACCTCTCCACATCATTTTTGTGTTTAAGCATTAACCATTTATATTCTAAGAATACTTTGTAGTCCTCATCAAATGTTATCTCCATTGCTTTAGACACTGCAGAGGCAGTTGTCCCTGCTCTGAAATCTAGCACTTTACATCAGTATTTCCCAACCCTTTCTGAGCTCAGACAGCTATTTTGCTGCAATATGTACGATTTCCCCAACATATACTGCATATCCACACCTTTAAACAGAATGTAACACTTTGCTGAAGCTACCAATAATTTCTGGGTACCTTGCCACAGGCGTTTTGCATGGTGATAGCTAGCTTGTTCCAGTGATACATTCAGTTTGAAGAGTGTGGTTATGTTACACATACTATCAACTTGTGCTCCATTAGGTGTCTGTAACATCACACAACTACCATGGTTACATCCAGATTGAAAAGCATTGCTGTACACACACAGGAAAGGAAGAATTGGGAGAGAGAAGCAGAAAGTTGGAAGTACTCACACATCTGAGGACCAACGATGGCAGAGATCAACAGGTTATCTTAGTTTCTTACTCGGTGCCTTATGCAGTGTCAAATGATAACCCTTGAGTCAGACATCTCACAAGTAATTTAAGGGGCAGGTCTGTATCACGTGGTTGTCTGGTTTTGGTGGAATAGCTGCTTGGAATGCCTGGGTCTGGAGAAGCTGAGTCACTTTAGCTCAGCTCCAGCCCATAACTGAGGAAAAAGGGCTCATGAGGAGTTAGTATAGTCTCCCAGCCACGAGCCACTCAGGTTCCTTGAGTTCCCCTTCTTCCTTTAAGGCACACAGTGTGTGCCTCATGGCCCTTGACCACAAGCAAATCACAGTGCATGGTCCGTGTGATGAGGAAATTTAACCACAACTGCACTGTACTCATGATGAGCCTTCCACCAGCACACAAAACACAGTACTAAAACTCCAGAAAGAGGTTGAGAAAGTCTCAGGGGTCTTTCTAGATGAAAAGCACTGTATAAATGTCAAGCATTACAATTATATTTTAAATGAAAAGCACTATACTGGAATCTAAACCATGAATAAACTTGCTGCACTTTAGAACAACTCTCAGGCAGGACGGGGCTCTGGAAACACTCAAGATAAATCCCCTTTTTATTAATATCATAGCAAAAAATATATATTCATTCTATTATGTAAGTTTCAAAGAATGTAACTAATTTGGCATTTTGGTATCTTATGAATCACATCTTTCTATTTTGTATTTTAATTGCCTGTTGCTGATTATATTTCTTTTCAGCCAAACTTTGGAATTAAAAGCAAAATCATCCTTTTACTACTGGAGTTCTCTTTGTAGGGCAGGGATTGCATCTTCCTCCATGCTTGCACCATACCTGGCCTTGGAGTGTTACCATAATGTAATCTGAAATAATGATAGTAGCTTTTTTGTGTATGGCAGAAGCAAAGTGGATTAGAGCCATCTGCTGTGGGATTCCCCTTGCTTAATTTTAGCTGTCTGAAAGCAGACGTCTGGTCTAAGCAGGTCATCTAGGGTAGGTGAGAGATGGGGGAGAGAGATTTGTGCCTCCTACCTTAGGTGTCTATTCTAGAACTGGTTAAATTCCTTCTGGAAGTGCCTGTGCTGCTTACAAAAGGCAGCAGCTTGACAAGCTTCAGCTAGTTGCCTTCCTCATAAATTCTTTAGTTGTGTGTAATTCCTTTCCCCAAAGTGGCAAAACGCTTCCCCATTACCTACTTTCATTTATAAATATGAGATGAGCACTGCTCATATAGCAGATAACATGGAGAAGCACTGACTGTACCAGAAAGTGATTTTCTTTGTTGAAACAAAGTCACTTACAGTGTTGTTGATTTTCTTCCTAGAATTTTTCCTTTAATCAAAGTAAATCAACTGGAATGCAAGTTGCTATAAAGACTTTTCTACACCATAATTTTGGAGAATATCTGAAAAAACATCTGCTATGCACAGAGATGAATGAATACAAATGGGAGCCAAACAATACGATTTCCAGTTTGCAGTTCTCCACACAAAACCACAGGAATAAAAGGGATTTCCTCCAAGTTTTCTTGTGTATTAATAATGAAGATCAGGATGCCACCTTTGTTTCCTCCCTTCTGAATACACAGTGGAAGGAAATGATTCTGGATCGAATCACAAGGAACAGTGGAAAAAAATAGTACTTTCCACACTGGCACTCAGGAATTTAATTATCCAGCATGCTGCATATTTATGGAAGAAGGAGACAGATAAATCCCATATGTTAATAGCTGCCTCCCTGTGACTGACCCCTGGCTCAAATATTCCATATTGTCATTAATGTGGCACGGTTGGATCCAAAGTGTGCTCATTTCCCAGGCTGCAGGGGTCGAAAAAAGGAGGATTTTATTCACCTTCCAGCCACAGAATTTCATTTGACCACTGTTTTGGAGACTGTTTTCTCCTTGCCTCCGGACATCTGTTCTGCTCTCCTTAAACTAGGATTAGGACTCTTGGTTTCTACCTTCTCCTCCAGCTGCTGGCTGGCTGGGCAGCCTGTGATGTCATTTTACCTCATGTTCTGATCTAGCAGACTAACAAATATCACCGACTCATTTGATGACACAGCTTGAAATCTACAGATAGGAGACTCTAAAGAGGTTAATCTCTAAATGAAATTAAGTACCGACCTTTACAATCTGGAGCTTTTACCGGATTGGGTCAGGAAATCATCGCTGA